ATAATTGTACGGGTCAGAAAATGATCCGATTTTTCCACATAATATCTAATTTGTTTAGCAAAACCATCTCATGTCATTGGGTTGAACGTATGTGCTGCTATCTGTGACAGCTCACCTGAGCATATGCAAATAGGCCTGTCTTCAACTACACACATTCTCATTTGACTAAAATACAGACAGATAGACAGATTAATAAAGAAAAGCCAGCGTGTGTAAAGAAGTCTATTGTGCCTTCTTCAGAAATGTTAACTACAACACATCACATTCACCAACATTCATACAATTATTAATTCCAGAGCCTTACATTATTATAAACCCACTTCACCTTCTCCTCTATAACTCCACACCTTGTTTCATTTTACTCGGCTCCCTTCTGGATTTTGACACATACTTTGTCTCTGCATGTGTGTCTGCACACACAGAGCGCTTTGACAGATTAATACCGGGGCAGGCAAAGAATGGTAGCAATTTAGCATCTCCGGTTCTGCTATACTGTGACCTACCCCTGCTCATTAGAGGGAAATATCATCCTCTCTGGAGTGTGTTTCGATTTAACTGTTACAGAGAACATGTATGAATAATGCTTTAAGACTGGATTATTATTCGATTGAAGATCTGAGAGAGGGTGTAGCGGGCTGCTCACAAGCGTCAGGGCTTCACCTCTGAAATCCCTTGTCAGGCCCAGGGGTCCAGGAAAGGGTCTCCCTCTTTAGGACTCATAATCAAAACCGTCCTTCCCCTCCTCTCCTCAGTCATCTCTGGAGATACAGGCTGCTAACCAGTTTAGAGATAATACAGCACAAGCTTCCTGTATTCCTGTATACTGTAAGACAACACTTATTTGCAGCATGCCATAGGTGGATGAGGAAATTAAGAATATAGCAATTATGAGAGTTCATAAGCAGTAGTTTGCCACATCTGCCAAAACTCTGATCCAAACCAGTGCTGCGTTCAATTCAAGCACTTCCACATTTGAGTAGAAACTGCAGCTCATTTGCTAATGATGATTAAGGGTTCAGACTCCCTTTAGTGGGTTGTACATAACAATTATTTCATGCCAAAGGGCGCGAAGTGTATAATTGTTCCAGATTTAATTGAATTGTGAGTGAAAATGGACCTACAGTAACAGTGAATATGCACTCTGTAGCTCTTACTTCATAAAACTTCAGTCTGCAACTTGAAGGACTTTGAGTGGGTTGAGAGCATACTGCTAGTGATCCAAGATTCTTTTGGACCGCAGAAAGAAATAGGCATACCTAAAGTGTGTGCGTGTGAGATTGCATGTGCGGGCGTGACATGGCAATCAATTCACATACAATTTCAATTAACACAACAAAGAGCTATTGAGCTTCAGTGATATCACGCGCAGAGGTAATGTAAACAAAGCAACTCTGTAACTGTCAAACCAATTGAAATTGGGCATGACTGATTGCAGTTTGGAGAAACGTGTAAGGTGATGTTCCTCACATGTCAGTTGTGATTCTTACAGAGGAAGCCTTTTTAACCTGTTTAAGCAGCCAAATGAATGTAACCTACGCTGTGTTTAGGTTGTGATAGATACCTCCGAGGAGTGGGGGTTTTCAGAGGGAGAAAGATCTCACCACTAGGCTGATCAAGTAGAGAAATTATTTCTGACACTTGCCTATTTTCCCTCCTTGATGTTTATCAACTTCATTTTGCCAAAGTAGGATATGATTATTAAAATTGCAACCATGCATGGTGAAAGTAATCTAACCTTCATGGTGGAGCGGATTAGGGTTCTGAAGGTCTGTTTGAAGAGCAGATCCCTAAGGGTTTCTTCAGTGGCCCCAGCACATGGACAGGGAGGCCCTTGTTACATAGTTGGCACTGATGTCAATACAATTAAATCAAAGGATGAGGGTGGTGGTGGCTTCCCTGCCATCATTTCCATGTTTCTCCAAAACTTTCCCTGCATCGGTTTTCCTTCACATCCTCAGATGACTCTAATAATTTGTGTTTAAATCAGATTTTCCTTACCATGGTCTGATAATGTGCTAGCATTTTGCGCATTCTTCAATCAGCGGATAACTCAAGACAGTTTCCGTCCTTGGTTAGACATCATTTAATGGCTGACAGACAATATTGGCCTCTCTTCATCCTTTGAATCCCCCTTTTAAACCCCCATTGCATTCAAATCAGAGATTATCTGTACATATTGCATTTGTATGGGTTTACCTTTCGAATGTCTGTTGCACTATTCCCAATGGGGCCTTTTGGAACATACTGCAGTCAGTGCTGATATACAATAAATGAAGAATGGAGGGACCTTCTCCAGCCCAATACTTTAGTTTCCCTGGAAAGGGAAATCTTACACTCATTACAGATACAGTTTAATAGGACAATAAACACTTCAAAAGCATCACGTTTCCAATCCTTTTCTTTAAACTTTTCAAGAAAATAGGTATTGTATACACTGAGGCAACTTTACTGTATATTCTCCAATTATTCCTGGCGCCTCCAGATATATCTGAAGTATTGTGCAGCAGAACAATAATTGCTTGAAGTCAAACACGTGTGTACTAGATTTGACTTCCTTTGTTTGTATTTTTAGTGCAGCACATATGGAAAGAAGATGAATAGGCGTCGAGAGAGTAGATTTTTGTTTTTTAAAATGAAATCAGGTTTCAAGAGAAAAAACTGATTGCACTGTTGCCTACCTAAAAGTATTCAATAGATTATACCACGTAGAGTTTTAATGGTTCAAAATCCGGTTTCTTCTTGATCTCAAATCCTAGATCAAAAAGGTTTCTATGGAGTGGTGTGTGGACACAAGCCAGCCACTACTCCCCACTGCTCGGTCCAACTGTGTGGTCAGAAATGTTCACAGTCATCTCATCCTGTTGCTGATGACTTTTTATGGCCTCACACTTCATCCTGGACACTTCTTCAGCTCCAGAAACTGAACATCGAGTGATAAGATGGTGGTGACTCATGTGGAGCCTCTGCATCTATTGATGCCAGATTTATAATTATAATTTAATTAGGGGTTGTTGTCTGAGATTTCAACTTCACACACCCTGTCATAGCTTATTTACATCATTTTGATAAGCTAAAGCTTTTAACAAGACACGCCAGTTTGAGTTCTCATTTCTAGCTCCGATATATATCATTTATAAATATTTTCTTTGCACATGGAGAGTGCAAAAACATTTGCAATTATTATTAATTTCAACTGAGTGGCATACGAGCCTAATTTCTGATTCTTTTTGGGATAACTCACAAAATGTGTAGTTTCAGTTTCAGGGACATACATCATATCACACCTTCTTAAACATATTATTTTAGTCTTGCTCACATAGTGTACAATCCCCATTGGCATCATTCTTATGGCCATTTAGGTTGTTCCACAATGGCATTAAATGGGCATTGAATTATAAGTTATGGAAGAGTCTGACAATGAATTATTAAACCTGACATTTGTTTTCTTTAAACGGGGCATAAGCGAATTGTAAGGACAGAATGACTACAAGAACCAAAGAAGTAAACTCTGATTGCAGTGCAGACACCATAGCCTATGACCGTCTTGGTCCACTGCGTTGCCCCTCTTGCTGCAGAGGAGCAATGAACAGGCCGCTCTAAAAACACAAGGCGGCTCCATGCCAGCTCCAGAGAAAGCCATTTAGACATCTAATAGCTGTGGTCCAGGCCAGTTTAATGTAAGCCTTTTGTGATTACCTGATGTAATGACAGCCAATCCAAATACAGCCTGCAAGCCATTACGAGCCAAGCAAGGGGAACACATTATGTACTGCAGGATTGCACTGTGTCAGCCTGACAGAGTCTGAACAGTGCAACATGAAAAAGTTTCCACCCGGTTAATGGGACTCCTAAGGTACTGGAGAGGAACTGTTTAGGGCATTTATACATCCCAAATGCCACAGATATCGCTTTGAAGGCTGGCTATAAGCCCTCAAAGCCTAATCCTTAATCTTAATGTAAACACAGATCAAACATGGGAAATGTTCATTCAGATTTAGCTCATAAAAGCAGAGAATGCTATTTAAAATATGTATCTAACAATTTCTGTCATTGAAATCACAGGAAATGTAACTTCGTCATACTTTAGAGATTTGTTAGAAGATGAATGGTCGATTAGTTCCAGCTCAGGGTTTTACCATATGTTTGGGGGGTATTAGTGCAAACAGGTAGAACTGATTGTTGGTCACTGTGAATGACACCAACATGCATGGCCGAAATTGGCGGAAAATCTGCCATCTGTGATTGAGGCCAATTTTCCCTTTCTTGGGAAAGAAACGTTAGTCGCTCCCTGTGCTGTGCGTGGGTGCACCTGATCTCCCACCCTCACTACCATTAACTAAATTGTAGCCAATTTACGTCAAGATAAGGAGGAGAAAAAGTTGACACCAATACAGTAACTGTTGGGACTTATACATGACTCACTTATATCCCTTGTGATAAACTACATTTGACAAAAATTCATAAAAATCGGATTCTGTTAACTCTAGAGTCTAGATATATCCTGTGGGACCTCCTGGCACTTCATAACTCTAATCGTTATTCAACATTACAGTCTCATTACACAAGAAGACTTGTGAGGGAGGGAGACAATTCATCAGGTGATGCTACTCTGCTTCCCTCAGGAATGTGTTTGGAGAGGCGTTCACTTTTAGGAAGCACTTTATTCTGCTGGAGGCTTGTCCTATACAACTTGGCTCACTACCGCACGACCTTTGCGTTTATCTAGAATAATTTCCCAGCTGAAAAGAAAGTATCATTAATATCACCCCACAGACACTGAATGCTCAGCTACATAAACGCAGGTCTGCTAAAGCAATTACAGCTGGCCCCAAAACGTAGTCAAGCAACAGCTGGTTTCTTGAAGGAAAGGTAGAAAATCTATAAATAATTGTATGTGCCCATGACAGACAGACACATACGTATTAACTTGATTTAACAAAATATTGAGTAACCAGAAATTAAAAAAGACAAACAAAAGAAACAGATTCAAAACCACAGTGTGTCTTTTATGTATTTTATTAATGGTGGATGTGTTAGTTTTCAAGGCTTTAGGATACGGTCATGGTTCAGGTTGAGAGGATGTTTTGATGGTTTTGGAAAACACAGGGACAGGAAGGCACAAGGTCAATAAGGGGACTGGGGGTGAGGTTGCTCAAAATTGCTGATAATTATTTTTGCCAGTTTAGCAGTGTTTCCATTTAATGATATGGTTCAGGAACAGATCTGGACAATAAAATGATCAAACACGGTTCCAGAAATTACACGAGGCACACTCCATTCACATATTTCAGTCTACTTTTGAATCTTTAAATGTTGTTTTCCTTAAATCACATTATTAAAGTATTAATGTGTGACAAACCAATGTCTGTCTGGCAGCACATAATGACGTGTCAAAACAAATTATCTGACACTTCTCACTTATTTTAAGAAAACAGCACATTCAGTTTAGTGCAAGTAAATCAAGAGCTCCTCTTTTTCCCTTTTTTGTTAGACTTTGTCATCCAGCTCTGTTTCTAAGAGGACCAGGAAGCCAAGACAGTATTCAAGGGCAACTTCACCCCCGAGAGAGCGGAGGTATCCTGTTGCTGAGGGGGAGAGGGGAGGCAGTGTGGCAGAGGAATCATGTGATCACAGTGGGGGCAGCGCGTCCAGTCTTCTCTTGGAGCTGAGAGACCTTCAGGGCGATGTCAACCAGGGGAGCCAGCATCACCTGCACAAAGACACAACACACATGAACATGTGACTAGCTGTGATTGGACTGATTTTATGTTTTTTATCTGTTTTTTTTGTATGTGTAGCTACTGCAGGCCTTCAGAGATAACAACATCTCACCTAACAACACATTTTGAATTGACATAATCTAATGAGTGTGATCCGTACAAGAAGCTTAAAATAATCTATTTTTCGGGCACACTAAGTTCCAGATGGACGGAGGCACTGCAACGTTGCTTTACTTGTAGAAGAAATAGTCAAGCAGTTACCCCCCCAGTACACCCCAATATGAATTTCTAACACTTTAACATAGCATTTGTACAGATTGCCCAAAAAAACAGTAGCTTTTGAGGTGATGGGTGGCGAACTTTGATGCCTTTTACGCCGAGCCAGGCTAACTTTTTCCTCTAGTCCTAATCATGGTCCTAATGCATAGCTAAGTAAATTGCTGGTGGCTGCAGTTTCAAATGCACCATACAAACATGAGAGTTTAAGATTGCCAAAGTACTTCTCATTAAACTGCTTTATATAAATGATGCAACCAAGAGCTCGTCATGCATTTCCTTTGAGCTGGCTGCTTAAATGAATATTACACTTTGAGCACAAATGTCATCGATCAACGCCCAATATGATTTCTGCCAGAATAAAATAATTTTCAGATAGCTATTTTCAACTTTTAGAGAGTTTTCACTAGCAGTAACAAGCAGAATACTTTGGATCCAGAAAAAAACTGCCTTTAGGAGACATGTGATAAATTGTAGTAAGATGCTTCCTCTTTCCTTCCAAAGCGGCTCGTATCTTTTCAGCCAACTGAACCTTGATTCCGCTGGCCTTTAATCTGTCAAGTTTCTGAAGCAATATGTTTCTGTTTCATCTGTTTGCTTGTGGTGTTTACACACTGAAGAGGATAAAGGGCTCTTTCATTTGACTTTTCTTTTTTCTTGATTTCTTGTTCTACATCCCCTCCCTGTCCTCACTAGTCAAAACGACTTTATGAAGTGTCTAGTTGGAGCTCATAGACGTTATGTTTCCCTTGTGTTATCCTCTCTTCCTTGGGGCCCTGATAAGCTGCCATAACTCAAGAATTTGCCAAACATCTCATACGTTGCATAAAGGATCTGGAAATCATTTCTGGGGGGCTCCACCCAAAATAAGCTGGCTGCTCTGCAGTGTGCAGATCATTCTGACTGGCCTGAAGGGTGCTGGAGCCCTTGTGAGTTAACATGTGACCGCTGTAACCTAGCTGGGGTGCCAAACTATGTTAATATCCTTTCTTCTCTCTTTTTTTCCCTGTGATTTTTCATTTGTTCAAATATTTAATGTTTATTTTTCATCCGATTACTTTATTATCTAATCTCTTTCTCTCTCTGGTGCTAGCTGTCTGGAAAGACTCCTTATTGTCCTGACCTGGGGGTCCTGGTAAATCTTCTGGGGGTCCTTCTCATAGCTGTCTATGTAGAGCCTGATGGTTGCTCCCGCGCTGCCTGTACCGCTGAGACGGAAAATAATCCTAGAACCGTCAGAGAAGATGATCCTCAGGCCCTGATGGAGTGATAGGGAGGCAGATAAAGACAGGGAAGAGGTTATGATTCATGAGCATGCACAGCAGCTGAAAAACATGTTGAGTTAGAAAGGATGGGGTGCGATAAAACAGCTTCCGGTCTGTCAAATAATTTATTTCAAAATACTAATGTTGGTTCATAAAGCACTGAATGGTTCAGTGCCAAAATAACATGTATTTACTTCTGCTACATTATTAAACATCCAGATATCTCAGGTGAGAGGTTTGCTTTCTATCCTGAGTAAGATCTAAACATGGAGAAGCAGTGTTCAGTTGTTATGCTGCATATATTTACAACAAACTAAAACTAAAAACTCTTTTGAATGAAGGCTGAAGACTTTTCGGTTTGCCACTGCCTTTTAATAAATCTAATAATTATTAAGTTACTACAGTGCATTGTCTCTTTTATAGTATTTATCACCTGTTGGCTTTACATTGTATTACTTACTTTACTTTAAATTGCCTTTACTTTAAATCGCCTTGCTGCATGTTGGTAGACATTCCTTGGCCATAATATGTTCTATACCAGTGGTTCTCAACTGGTCAGGCCTCGGTACCCACTTTTTCCTTTGACAATAAATCGCGACCCGAATTTTGAACCACTCAAATCTATTCAACAAAAAAATCGTGCTGTAATGTATATATATATATATATATATACGCTTTTCAGCATCCATTATTAATTAAAGTGAAGTACAGTGCATATATCCCATATATCCCTTCACAGAACATGCTGAAAACCCAGCCCCATAAGGGGGGTCTGGGGGGATTCTCCCCCAGGAGACTTTTTGAAATACTAACATATAAACTAGGCATTCTGGTACACTCTGAGAAGGAAAATAAATACATTTATTACTACCCGACATATTAATATTTTATGCCATTGTTTGTTTTTCACTTTGTTCTGACAGCTGAACCTGCTGCTCCACACAGAGAGAAGAACAAAGACGAGATAGTCTGTGTGAATTGCTTTAAATTGTGGGTAAGGGTAGATAGCCCCCATTGTTCTGTGAGCTGTCAATCATCAAACCGGGGGTCATATTTCATTATGTGTTCATTTTTATCTGAAGTTGTACCCATGGATGTATAAAGAATAGTTCTACCGTAGTTATTCTCCATGGGGACTTCCGGCAACAATCTTGATTCTGATTGGCCAGAAGACTCGAAAAAAACATCAGCAAAGATGTTTTATTGAGAAGATGATCACTATGTGAAAGAAGTTTATGGTCTCCGGTACTTCGAGTCCAACGCCTACTGCATGCACAGCGTTAGAAAATCGGGCCTTCAAAATAAAAGTTGGACTTTTTTTCCCAAAAAATAAAAAAAATATATATATTTTTTCAACTTTTTTTTTTCTTCACTCACATCTGCGACCCACTCAAAACCAGTTGAGAACCACTGTTCAATACGACTTCATTACACATTCAGTCAATTTTTAAATTAGATTGATACAGTTAAAATACTTACATATAAACTAAACTATGAATAATTGCTTGATAACTTTTTGATTGGTAATAGATGTGTTTTCCCTGTCTTGCAGCCTCTCACCTGGTTTTTGGACACACTTCCGTCCACAGGGTCTGTGTAGGCAAAGTTGTCAGAGAGAGCCACATCGTAAGTCTTATCACCCGATGAGAACTTCTTTCCTACGAAGGATGGGTCGAACATTACTGTCTCCAGACCCGTGATCATCTTGTTGGCAGCATCAGAGTCGACCTCCTCATAGTCGTACCTGGACATGAAGTCATGATCTGGTGTTTAACCCGTATCTGAAAACAACTTTTCCTTGGTTTTGCAGTAAATAAAATGGTGGGTTTAAGAGTATCCGCAAGTTTTTATTTTATACTATTTTCTTTAATAATAAAATAGTTAAAAAGAGACAAGAGAAAACTGAAAAAAAGAATCGTAAGACCACTTTATTATGAGTTGGCTGTTTCTGGGCTATTGAGTGCTGCAGTTCTCTAATTCCCCAATAGAAGGTGCCAGATAATCATTTAAGAAACCTGCATCAGTTGTTTCCACAGTATGAGTTCTTACAACTGCTCAACAATAATTAAAATTAAAAAAAATACTGAAAAACCCAAACCCACAATTTTTTAATCCATTCAAAAAAGAATCATTACTGACCTGGTGAAGAAGTTCCTGCCAAACTTCTGCCAGTGATCTTTCATGATATCTTCAACGCTCTGTTTCCTGGTGGCTAAGATTGACAACCATGCGAGCACGGCCCATAAGCCGTCCTTCTCACGGATGTGATCTGAGCCTGGTCGGTTAGCAGAGGTAGAGAAGAGGGGGTGAGTGATTGAGTGAACGAGGGGTACTCCTTTCATTTCCTGGAGTTCTGGGTACATAAATCTGATAACATTCACTCACCTGTGCCGAAGCTCTCCTCTCCACATAGTGAAAGTTTTCCGGCATCCATCAGATTACCGAAGAACTTCCAGCCAGTTGGAGTCTCGTACAGCGGCATCTGGAGAGCCTTAGCCACACTGGAACACACAATAAACCAAACTAGAAAAAACTGATCTGGAACTGATCTGGAACAGCAGCACTTTACCATAGAAGGAACATTTAAGATTGGCTGTTGCGTTGTGTTTTTTTTTACTTGTCAAGGGCTCCACTAGTGGGCATGCTGCGGGCAAGTCCTTTGACACCAGTCTTCTGGAAGTAAGGGATGCTGGTAGTATTGGCAGCGATGACAGCCACGGAGTCTGAAGGGTTCACGAAAAAGCCATGTTTTCCCAGAACCATGTTACGGTCCTGCAAATAGAGACAAAAGGGATCAACAGTCTGGCAGGATTTCTGACATTTAGCAGTTAGTGGACAGTTGGACAGATGGACAGTTGGATCCTGGAAATTGAACGACAACCCATCTGAAGCTTTCTTGGGATTATATTGAATCCCTATTGATAATATTTTACACCCAATTCCATGTAGAGGTAATTTGTGACACTCAAAAAGGTATCTCAATAACCGAAATGAAAATGCCATACGAACATTTTTCTTACTTCTCATTATGAATTTCAAAGGCAGGAGAAGGATGAATAGTTGACCGTGTATGGCATAATGATTTCAGCATTTTTTGTCAGATGTAGAGCTGAAAAGAAACTGCTAAAAAAACGAACATTTACTGTCCTAATAAAGTGTTGTGCCAAAGTTAAAATTAGTTTAATTCAATCACTCATTCCAAGGCCCATTATTTTTGGACTTTCTATTAAAACTTAAAAGACCAGAATGTATTTAACTTTATGTGTACTGACATCATAGATTCCAATCCACTTCAATAATCTCAAAATTCTGCTCTCACCTCTCCCCAATAAAATGATATTACACTTCTGCAAAATAAAAAAAATGGCCTTACACCATCACCATCAAAGGCTGCGCCCAAATCATATTCTCCTCCTTTCATGGCGTTGACCAGTTCGGAAGCGTATGTCAGGTTGGGGTCAGGGTGGTGGCCTCCAAAGTCCTCCTTGGGCACACAGTTAACTGCTGAGCTGGCAGGAGAACCCAGCTCTTCACAGATTATCTTCTTCACATAAGGACCAACCACTAGAAAGAGAGAGAGAGTTATTTAAATAGACCCATACACTTGGTTAAAAATACACACACTCCTCTACAAAATTGGTTGTGCCTAAACAATAGACAACAACTGTAACTGTGTTTGTTTTAATGGATTTGTGCTATTACTTAATAAGTATACCTCCTGAGAATATGTAATTTATTTTAATATATAAATCCAGATTCCATCGTTTGAATTTTGGCCCAAAACAAGTCTTCGCAATTTCTTTTTGGCCTCTCACAAAAGTTTGAATTTGTGCAGTGCGGTTTCCTACCTCCGTGCATAGCATCCAGGCGGAGATTAATGTGATTGGCTCCAGAGAGAAGCTCCTTTAGTGCAGCAAAGTCAAAGATGCCCCTTAGCATCTCAGCATAGGCTTCCACCGAGTCCACTATCTCCACTGAAACAAATGAAGAGGAAACAGAGCACAAATTAGGATTAAGATAGTTGCAGATGTCAAGATAAAGACTTTTGCAGGCTAGGTAACTTTCCTCATAACCATGACAGATGTTTTGTTAGATTTCACAACCGACCAACTTCATTCAATCATTATGAAGATTACCATATGTTTAAGAGTTGTGAAGATGCTGTCTGAAAACGAAACAAAACAACATTTGCCACATCGAAGGTCGCTATTCATTTTCAACGTTGACAGCAAGATCATGAATCAACAATTAAATAAATAGATGAATAATCGTTCATGTGAGATAAGGACTGTGTCCTTGATGTCATTTTACCCGTGAAGGGCTTGAAAGTGTCCACTTCAAAAGTCTGTTTGCCGATCTTGGAAATATCCACTTTCAGCTCTGGGGAGATGTGATACTCCTGCAGGGTTTTGCTGATCTCATATATTTGGTTTGTGACGCCCTCTGGAGCAGGTCCTGGGGACAAAGTAAAAAGCTGGTTAGAAATGATGAACCGAATAATATACTGTGGTTAAAAAAACTAAAAGACTCCATGCATTTCTCCTCAATGCTTGTAATGCAACATAGTAGGCAGAGGATCCTTAGGTGTGTAAATACATGTGATATCTAAATGTTATACGCTGCACAATGCAGTCTCCACTCACCCCCACTGGAGATGTTGTACTTGATGCCAAAGTCTCCATTTGGGCCTCCTGGGTTGTGACTGGCTGTGAGGATAATACCCCCCACTGCCTTCACCTTGCGGATCACACAGGAGACTGCTGGAGTGGACATGATGCCATCCTGACCGATAACCAGATGGCCAATCTGCAGAAAGTAATACAAAATACAGGGACACACAGATTATACACACATGTATACTCAAACAGGTGAGAACCAGGAAAGCAATGGCTAAATGGTGGGGTTATTGATCTGAGCATCTCCCTTTTTGTTTCAGTTTTGGGTATGCAAGGGTCTCATTCCTTGTATGTCATGCAAGCTAGGATAGACATACTTACACAATAACCTGTTAAGCTTTAATAATTATGTCATTGCAATCACTGTCAAAATCCTTTTAAATGATGCCATTAGATTGGATAATTTGACTCAAATGATCTATGTAGCTACTACTTAACTCTAGGGCAAATAGTAGAAAGGCCAAACTACGGTTACATAATAAGAGAGTAAGTATATCTTGTATATGATCATTAAAAAAAAAAAAAAGGTAAATATCTCAGTCAAGGAATCCCTATTTCAACATACAAAAGTTTGCTTTGTGTAAACATTTGAAACAGAAGTGCTCCTGTCTGTGCACCTTTGGCAATCAGAGTTTCTCCACTGCCTCATTTTATAACATCAACCACTTGTGGAGAAATATCAGACCACTTCATGCAACTTCAACCTACTGGCCTCAGTGACAAACATTGCTAATCCTCTCTTTGCATTAGCTGCACAAGAGAGGGGCCATCTCAAGAGAGAGGGTCACAGATTCAGCCTGAAAAGCAAACACGTCTTGTCAAAATATAACAAGGCATCCTTATGCTTGCAATAATATGTACTACACTTTGGATAAAGGAATAGGACGGTAAAAATGCAAAAATCTTAAATAAAACCCAAATGTACTCAATGTACTTTATTCCCATCTGTGCTGTAGAGGTTTGAAGGGCAACTAGACTGTTTGCACGTTTCAAATGACGCTCCCTCTTGGCTAAAATCGTTCCAGTAACATTATCAGAGTGAAGGCAGACATCTCTGCACAGCTCCTTATGAAACAACACAACGGCCATGCTTCATTTTGAAACAACAATCAAACATGCTGTTGCTCATTCATTTTGCAAGTCATGTTGCAATGCTTTATGCAAAAGCAAAGAGGTGGCCGTCAAGAGTCAGTAACTTTATATAGCATCAAATGTCAAAGGTAATAATAGTTTGATATTTAAGTGGCTTCCTTCATGCACTTTCTACAAAAGGTCAACACGGTCAGACTGGCATCGGAGCCAGTGCAGTCACATTATAGCAAAAAATAAAATAAAAAAACATGCAAATCTATGGTAGGTATGCCATCTATGCAGTGTTTATTTTTCAGGCCAAAGAGTTGGGTGATGTGCAAGATAATTCAACATTAGTTAGTTAGTTCCCTGGAGGCCAACTTATAACCATGTAACACTTGATCCCATAGCTAAATCTTGAATTGTTGTAACGTTCCCTACCTCTGTGACCACCAGTGTCTATCACACTGGACCTTCTGTAGACACACACACCCTCATTCGATCAAGGATGTAGAATACCTTGGTTGAAGGATATTCTATCCAGAGACCCAGAACAAGATCTGATTGGTTGCTTTCTTTTCTAACATATCCCCTGTGTGCCTAACCACTGAAATGCGTAGTGCATGGTCCGAGAAGGACAAACAAATCAACGTAACACTGTAATATTACAGATCAACAACACAGATACGATTCTCATTTATTCATTTTATATACATATTATTATATTTTATTACATTTGATTTATATAATTCAATTAAAAAATTGTATCTGAGTGTTCCAGGGTATTCTCTGAATACCTTGAAGGGCCTGACGGTTCGCCACTGGTGACCACATAACTGGAGTAACGTTATCTTACACCGACAATAACGATACATTGTAATATAGTGACCGATAGTGACACATTCGCATAACTGTCATTACAAACATTGGTACCGTTAGCAAAACAAGTCCGTCCACCTCTCCTGGTAATGTAGCTAACGCAAGCTAAAAACAACAGCATACCACAGTTCAAGAATTTAGTTGAGTAAATAAAATAGGAGCTGTACTGAAGACTGAGGTACAGTTGCAACCTGTCAAGTTACGTTGACTTCCACTTGCTAGCTGCCCATAGCTTACATGCTAACTTATTCATTCGGGCTCTGTATGGCAGTAGGTGTTTTAGCTAACTTAGCATGCTAGCGTTGCACACACACAGTAGGGGAAGCCAAGGTGAACAAAACTCCTTCTCCTACTGACCCCGTTGGCAGCAGAAATCTGAACGATCAACTGAATCGTTTCTTTCATGAAAAACCTCCCATCTCCTCCCACCACCACAGTGGCAGCCTGGCGCTTGGCAGGCTCGATGACAGAGATAATGCTCTGGATGAAGTTTTCCGCATAGTGCTGGTTCTGCTGAAACACCGTCACCCTCTTCCTAAGGCCGCTCGTCCCGGGCTTCTGGTCCGTATACGGCTTGGTCTTCACTGTCGTTACTTTCACCATTGTTGACCCCCAGTTAGCACCTGTGGTCGCCCCGTGTGATCCGCAATATGTCCCGATGAGGAGGCGACTGCAGTGGCTGAGCAGCTACACGTACACACCGGGCAACTCCCCCCTCACAGACCCGCCTTCTTCGTTTAAAGGGCAAGGAGAGGCCATGCAGGATTTTCCAAACAACATGATGGCTGCACTGATAATTGTAGTTTACAGTAGTTTTTAGCATACTTTGGTAATGTTATTAAATAAACATATAACATTCCTCAAGTATGGTTACCGGGCCTGGATTATCAAGGTCATGTACCCTCTGTGACACCCCACCACATTATACAGATAATATTAGTTTCTGACTTTTTGAAATGCATTTTATTTCATCCATTCATTTAGCTGTTTAACTTTGGTTTCAACAACATTACGTTTCTCAACAATACGGTTGACATAGTGTTTAAAAAAATAGGGTTAAACATTCTGAAGATAAATATTGAAACTTTTGCTTATGACATTAGGGACATTATGATTGGCCTAAAAGTGGAAAAAATGCAAACACATTGACCCTAAAAGTCATATAATCAGTCTGTAAACTCCTTATGTGTAAGTGATGAACTGTAGAATTCCAATTCTTCAAGGTTTCAAAATTCAAAATGCACACATACTAAAAAGACAGGACAATGTCCTCAATGGTATGTGGCCTTCCTTTCCCAAAAAGATGCCCCAACTTCAAGACTTGTGTAAGCATACAGCATCTCTGCTGATGTGCCCCTGACAATCTACTTTGCTTTGTGATATTGCAATCTTAACCTTAATAAAGAAATGCCAGAGAAAAAAACAGCATTTTCATAATGAAGGATGAGTGCTTGAGTGGACTCTTGTACCTTAGAGTTCAATTCCCATGGAAAGGTTGATGACTCTGAGGCATGTTTTGTATACCTTTACACTAGCTAAGAAATCAGCAAAAAAGTCAAATGAATAATGAGTCAATACATTTGAATGATTTAAAGGTACCCATACAATTTTGCAGGGAGAAATATATTATTATACAACACTCTATTTAAGTAAAAGGGTGAATTTCTCAGGACCTATATTGTGAAATAGTCTATTTCAGGTCACTGTTGTTTGCCTGTTGCCTCACTTTGATAAGCAGAACAAAGTTTATCGTCAGACCTGTCATCATGAACGGAGGGTGTGATTATGTGTGGAGGTTTTTCTTCAACCAGGACATGTAGCTGTTTAAACAGTATTTTAATCTCTGAATACCATTAAGAGAAAAATATATAAGTACATACCTGGCGCAGAAAACTAAAGTTCTGGGGCCGTATTCACAAAGGATCTTAGGGCTAAAAGTAGCTCCTAACTGGCGAATTTAGGAGAAACTCCTAAGCATAATGGGCGTGTCAGTTTTAAATTTAGGACTCCTAATTGTATTCACTAAGAGCAATTCACAAAGTATTTTAGGCCTAAAAGTAGCACCTAAGTCTGGGAGAGCTTAAAAGTCCTCGAGAGGACTCCTAACTCAGTAAGACCTATTCACAAAGAATCTAAAATGGCTGCGAGACGAAATGTTTTGGAGACAATGGAAGACTGTGAATTGATCAAGAGATATAGGCTAAATCGTGAGGGTATCAAACTTGTTGTGGAATTAGTGCGGGATGCAATAACATCCCCGACTAACAGGAATAACCCGATTAGTCCGGAAATAAAATGTTTGGCAACACTACGATATTTAGCAACAGGGAAAATGCAACTTTGCATTGCCAACGATTTAGGAATATCGCAACCATCAGTCAGCCGTGCCATAAACCAAACCATCAACGCGCTCTCTAGTCTAGACCACATATCATCCACAACAGTTTATCCGGTTTCCTTTGGACAATCAACAACTACACAGGATCAAAGCCAACTTCATGGCAATGCAGGTATGCCCGGTGTGGTCGGTGCTATTGACGGGACGCACATAAAAATAATTGCGCCATCAAAAGATGAGGACGTGTTCGTCAATAGAAAGAAAGTACATTCCATCAACACGCAGATTGTTGTCATTCATCATGATAGGGGGACTTGAACGGCGGTATGGGCTGTTATTGAAAGTGTTTAAGTGCTGGAAATATGCTCATTGGATAATAGTTTGCAGGGTGCTTTTAATTGCCTCCTGATTTAATGCAATTTACGTATTTTTATTGTTTGCTCTCTCTCTTTAACGTGCATATACAACGTCATTATCGTGGTCTGCACAAACTTGTCATCATGCGTGTATTCTGCTAACTGCACTGTCCATAACTATTTGATAGGAATACATTTCTAGCCTAGGCTA